AAACTTATATCATACTATCTGGTTCTATAGTTGGGATGATCAAAATTCGCAAAGTCCACAATAAATTACCTGTGAGAATGGACGTATACTCTTTCTTGTTTCCACTTGCGGCTGAGACATTTAGTGCTTTATGAGTAGTACAGACAAAGTGAAAAGAGATAACCGAATAATAGTAAGCGGCCCAGCGGTCCTAAATTCCTGAGAATGTCAAACTTTTTTTAAAGTCCGATGCTGGCAACACACTCAAGTTCCACTTGTCTGCATCTCTTTTTGTTACACATTACTTGGTGTAATGTTATTCCTTTTTCATTATTAGTGTCCTCTGCAATTCTTACCTGACATCTCTTTTCTATGTTTGCGATACTCCCTACAGCGTCTGTCCTGAATAGAAGTAGGAGTTCTGTCAGCAATCGCTCTAGTCTAGTTAGTAAGTTGAAAGAACAAAGTAAATGCGATAGTTTTATTCCAGACTAGTTACTTAAATAAGTGCTAATATATTTGGGTGATGTTATTTAGTTAAATTTCAATTTATTTTAACTATATACCTGCTATATTTTATACGTATTATTTTCTTTAAAAGTAATACAGGATTAAACGTTTTTCTGACTGTGTTTTCTATTATATGATGGCCGTATGTAATGATGTGTAAAAATTGCCTTGATCCTTGATTTTGGTAATTGTCCAGAACTGGGGTTCGATACCAAAATCGCTCCAAAAATTTTTTCATTGATTTTCGGTCATTCTACATAACAGAATTAGATATTAGAAGGTGGATGAGACATTTTTATAACTTTTTCAATAAAAAAGAAATTTTTTTTGAATGATAATTTTTCAAAATTGCCCCAATTCTGGATAATTACCTGCATTGGTGACATCATTTTTTGGTTAGGTAGATTTATGACAGATTGGAGTTTATACAATGCCCCTGCCCGCCGAAGGCCTACTAATATGTTAGAGTATTATATTCACAGAAAGCATTAGTTTTATACATTTCCTAGTACAATATCAGAATTTCATACAATTCCTAGAATTGAGGCTCCAGACCAAAATCGCTCCAAAAATTTTTTCATCGATTTCTGGTCATTTCTGAGGGTTCAATATTTATATTTGAGGCGGGGGAAGAATTGTTTTTTATATTTTACCTATTTCTAATAAAAAAATATAAAAACTGCCTACTTACTCTTTAATTTTAGATATGGTTGTACAACATGAAAATGGTGCACATAACAAACCTGTGAGCTTTATTCATAAACCTAATCAAATTAACTGAATTTTATTAAAAGTACTCATGTAGGGAAATTATGCGTGTACAGGGTATCCCATTTTCGGCACTTTTGAAAGATGACTCCAGCAGAATTTTTAAATTCGTTTTAATTTTGGATACACAGAGGTGGAATTGGAAAGTATCACGTTTCAAGCACCCTATGTCTCAGTTACCTTTAGGCTTATCGAAGAAGTTTTTTCCCGTAAATTCCAGTGGCGTAGTCAACCTTTTTCAAATTGGTCATAGCCTACTACCTACTAATTGACCACAAAGGAAAATCTCAGAAACCTTAAGTTCTGAAGTTATATTAGTGAATTAATTTTTGAATTAATTTTATCCACTACCAGTAACCTCAAATTAATGCAAATACAAAAATTCAAAAAATAAAAATAAATGTGTTACTTTAAATTTTTGGAATGCCCACAAATAATACACTTTTATTACAATTAAAAATATATTTTGCGTCATAACTAAAAAACGGAATGTGCTAGAAAAAGACTGACTTCGCTACTGGATCCTACGGAAAAACATCTATAACAATACGACTTAACTTTTTCGATAAATTTAAAGAGATACGAAGGGTACCTCAAAAGAGATACTTTTCAATTCCACACTATCTCAAAAACCAAAAAGAAATATGAAAAGGTAGCACACGAAACAACAATCCTTTGATCTTTAAAAATAAGAGAGATAATCCACAAAAATTCCGGAAAAGAAATACCCTGTACAACGATTAAAAAATAATGTATTACATTCATACGGAAAAATTACTGTAAGAGATCGCCTTAAAGGAAAGGTGTAAGAAGAATAAATGAGTGTTATAAACGCATTCCTTAATATTTCATCACGACAAAATGACTGTATAAAACGACGTCAAACTCCAATAACTGCTAAAAAATTCATACGAAGTAACTCCAGAGCTATAACTTCATATATATATTCTCGCCAAGGCATGTCCCTTTTTTGCATATCTTTTTAAATATTCAACAATTCTTGTCATTTTTTAAACAGAAAGCTGGCAAGTCAAACCGAAATTTTCAAAAACAGAAACATTTTACGGGTTGAGTAAAACGTAGAAGTGTTTCACCATTTGATTGGATTAAAATGATCCATGTTTACATTTTCTTTATCACTTAATCTTGTACATATTTGTAATTAATCAAACAAATTTATTCTTTTCATTTTTGTAAGACATATTATTGAGAAAATTAGTACATATTTTGTATAAATATTTAGTAAACACGCTATTAAAATGATATTGTATATTTACATACACGTACCTACCTATAAGTAATTTTACAGATAGGTGCCTAACTATTCTACAATTTACCTACTCGTTTTGATTTGCTACTTCCAGAGCTATAGCTGCTTCTAGTTCATCAGGTGATATTGGTCCTGTACTTCTCCTATTTGATAAGCGGTTTTTCGAATTTCTTTTCCTTTGTGTTTCACTTTTGTCATATCTAAAAATACAAAAAATCGGTGAAACGTCAAAATTTAATACGTACATGGATAAACATTACCGTTTCTCTCTCATTTTAACACTGCCCCAATGGGTGGAACTGAAACACGAGTCTACCGTGGTTACATGCGATTGCTGAATTTCAAGAGAATCCAGACTAAAAATTAGCAAGAAAACTGAGATAAAAAAGGTATTTGGTTAAATATTAACAGAATACTACGAAATAATACTTACCTATTTGGTTTTTGATCGGTTAAAACGTCCATGTCTACATTAATAATTTCTGTAAACTATGATTACTTATACGCACTCTTCATGGTGCTTAGAATTTGATTAAATTTTGATAAAGTTCATAACATAATGTCAAACTAATGCATAAAAATCAGCGAAAATAATAAGATAATAATTATCTTATCTAGTAAATTTAAATTTCATTTATCAACATTTCAGTCAATTATCTATTCGATTTACGGTAACAACCATCACAAGCATTTTGACAAATCACTTCTGGTGGTTGGTGTTCAGCCAAAACTATTAAATGATTTTTTATAGCATTATTTTTTATCAATGCGCAATCTACATATGGGTGATTCCATGAAAATAGGGCAACTTTGTGATGTAATTAATCTTTACTATTTTTTACATACTGTGCAATTTTAAATTAGTGTGTTTTGTGACTGATCGATAGAATAATTAATGTTCAAAAGGGCCAGTCACTTTGTTTAGTATTTTAAGATAAATTCAGGTTTTTGTAAATTTAGACGTCTAGGGACTGACACATATAGCTACGGACTGATGAAAATTACACTGATATACTGTAATATAAGATTTTTTAAGGCAATTAGTGTAATAAAATAAGACTCCTACGCACTTTTATTAAGAACGTATTTTAGACAGTATCATTATTAATTAACTTAAAAAATGTTAATCAAGTGTAGCTTTAGCTAAAATTCTTTAAGATAAGGTAAAAAATAAAACACCCGAGGCCCTTTGCTCTGTGCAGTAATAATTAACAAAAAAGGCTCCTTGGTTATAAAATAATCAATCTCAATCGATCAATCAAGCGAGGGACTGACGGGTTAGGGACTGACGATTCAGAAGAAAACCTACGAATATTCTGTTCGGTTATATATACCACAATACCTAACGTCATTTAATGAACAGGGCTTACAAAACAATACTAAATCGTTGACAATTAAAAGCAATTGCCTACTATTTAATATAAAAATTGCTTACCGAGGGACTGACAAAGTCACTGGAACAAGGCGTGCCAGCCATCTTACGCTGCGGTTCCACTGAATTCCAAAATGGCCGACACAAGGCGAGCGGCATTTACAGATAACTTCATGTTTATTCTTTAAAATGAACTGATTCTCATTCCCTCATTCACGATAAAAACCGCATAATTTCAAAATTCCTAAGCGGCTAGGGCCTGACGGTTAAAGTCGCGGACACAAATTTAACTTACATAAAGGTAATGTTTTTTCGAAATATTGTTATTTTATTGATGTTATTAGGTAAATAGTCATATTTTTAAATGTCTTGAATAAAATAAAAGTGTATAAAAGGAATGCTTTTTCAGATATTGGTGGCCAAATATAAAATTTTGATAGGCTGACACGGCTAAGGCCTGANTAATAATAATGGGGTTTTAATAAATTTATTGATTTATCGGGACATTTAGCGTCCCGATCAGGTGCAAATCGAGACGCGTCCTCAGACCCTGAAAATCGGGACGTCCCGCGCAAATCGGGACACCTGGCAACCCTAGACGTGAGGCTGACTCAAACGTTTTTCTAAGAAAGATAGGTATAAATGCAATCAGAACATTCCAACTTTGTCCTTTCCATCTCTTCACGGTAGTTTATACTATCCTAATTTAGGAAAATTTATTTAATACATGATTACTGAGATTCAATAAAATTATTATAGTACATTATTAAATAAAATTAAATTTAAATGTAGGCGGGAACCCATTAAATCTAATAGAGTGGGTTTTGCTTGCATTTAATAGGTCCCGCCTGCACTTAAATTTAATTTAACAATATGCTATAATCATTTTATCGAATCTTTATAATTACGTATTATAGTATTACATATTATAGGATAGAAAAAGGCGAGGATGGAATGTTCTTATTGCATATACTTACTTTCCTTAACAAAACGTCTACATTATCCGCACGCCCAACGTTAGGAAAATGTAATAACTCTCTTATCTACTTGTTGTTTGCTTTTTAGTTGTACCTACAATGTGTTTAATAGTTTAAACTCGATATTTTTTTTAGTTTTTTTAATTATGTCATTCATTAAATTACAGTTCAAAGCAATTTTCTTATTTCCAACAATCGCCTGAAAAAGTTATCAATTTATTTTCGTTAAATAAAATTGTACAATACAAAAAATAACGTTGTTCAAATAAATTTGTTAAAGCTATAACCACAGGTGTAAGTCGGTTTTGGCGATGTCACCATTCCAATTAGTAGCATTACACCAGTCTGTCTTCTGACAGTACAACAGTGATGGGGTTCTTCAGCCAATGGAAAAGCAAGTAGTATAAAAATTATGGCAATTATTCAAATAACTTATAAAAATCATTAAAGTATTTTATAACGCGACTGCAGAATCGCATGGTATGTTTTACATTTTAAAGTTGTAGTACATATTATGTCTCTAAAGGTATTAATTAATTTAGATTTATAGTCAATTACTTTCTAAATTTTTTAATCCATATAACTGTGTACTGCCATATTCATACATGTGCCTACTGTAAATAGTTATGTACCAATATGTTCACCTGTGTACATTAACGTACACCAAAGATAGCTAAGTACGATATGTGGCTACAAATGTAGGACGGTCCGTGTTATGGACCTGCATGTTCTGAAATATTAACACCATCACACGAACTTTCTCTGAGACAGGCCGTAAACTTTTCTAAGGCATCTTTACGTGAAATATTAAAAAGTGGGACTTGCATTTTCAAGTAGTCGTTTATTCAGCTTCTGTCTTGTTTTACGTTAGTAACGGACGATTGCTTTTCGTTTGACGGACTGGTATATTGGAATGCATGTATAAATGAATTGTGTAGGTATTAATATTCAGAAATTAGATTAACCACTATTAATAGTAAAAATAATAGCAATTGTTTACTTCAGGGACCACGCGTCCGATTTTCTTGAAATGTTACTACATAAACTGTGAGTCATCTAAACTGGCGGCAGAAGTAATAAAACTTCTAGAAGATTTTATGCTTATTTTGTCAAATTTCTTTTTTGGTTCGTATTACTATAAACAAACAAAAGAAAAATAGGTATTGCAACAACAACACGCATTTCATGTACTAAATGTGAACCCTCACAAAAAAATATGGGTTCAGTTTGTTTTACATATTTTTTTTCTAAAGTTAGGGAACTGTTTCCGCTACATTCATTTATATATATATTCATAACACGGCGAACTGTACAACATATTAGAAAATCTTAGGTGTCACCCCTAAGAGTCACCCCTCTTTCACCCCAAAAGAAACTATTACCAAAATAATTATTAAAAATTAGGTAAAATAAATCTACCTTTAGAGTCAGTACCTGTAATATGTATAAAAAGCATTGTCAATGTTGACTCATGCATTAATACAATTTCACTTTTCTTAGTACTAACCGCAGAAGAAAGTTGATATTATTTTTTGTTATACAGACAAGTTGGTAAAAGTTCGCAAATGAAATCACCTTCAAATGACAAAAAGCGAATGAAAATTGTAAAACATTAACTATTTTACAAGGCCAAACTAAAAAGTTGTGACCGTTTTCAACAACAATATGGTTTTAAATATGAGAAAGTGAAAGAGATTTTTGTGCAATTACATCTATATTTTCTTACAAGAACGGGAACGGATATAAAGTAATGTGATAACAAAGTGTTATTTCTGAATGAAACGAGTAGCAAAATGAAATATTTCAACAATAATCATATTTGCGAATCGTTTGAGACTATACTTACTAACTGCTAGATTTTCTGGTACAAAATAAGTTTGTTTGAAAATTTGTTACACTAGGATGACTCCTAAGATGTTAGAGAGCGGTATAAAGACATAAAGAGGAAGTAGAAAAGTACGTAGTTATATATTTTTATCTCTGCATCAGGAGAAATTGGTTACGATATGCTTGCCTAGTCAAAGGGTCAAAGGTAAGTAGGCATTACGTATACATATACAGACATGTAGACACGACGAAAGTCTGGAGATGGTCTACCTCTGTCACACTGCATCATCACCGACTTTTTTAAATCACCAGCAAAAAGGAAAAGTTGCTTATGTGACGTCAACTATTTGGTATTATAATTGCAAAGACTTAATATGCACGTTTACAAATGCATATAAATGTTATGGCATTAGTTGAATTGTATTAAATTTAAAAAGCTTAAGAAAAAATAAATTGAGGGATAAATTATGCGATATATAATGCCAAAAGGAACAAAGGAAAGACCGGATAAAAAACAGAAGGGCGGCGTGGCAATTTATTTTAAAGAAATATGCAGATACAAGTAACTCCACAAAATATATGAGTCCGGTATCTCTACAACAGCGGTGAGAAGAAAATAAGAACCTATATAAAACATTTCGCCAGGCGTTTGGAGACGTGCAGGATTTGCGAGTTGTCTTACATGTCACCTATACATTCACAGGTATATTTACCAACATATGCTATTCGTGAAACATGTATAAATAATGCGCACTTTTCATTTTTCAGTTGCCATTTCTTATAATGTATAGGGTACATTAAGAACTACAACCGTTTCATTATTTTATATTATTCTTAATGTGGTAGCTACGTACAAAATAAATGTTTTCGAAATGCTTTTTTATACACTAGGTACATTTGCATCACATGCATCGCAGGTGAAAAAAATATTTAAAAAGTTAAATGCATTAAGTAACCGCTTTCTCCGTCCATCATACTACCTACTTTACGCATCTTTAATCGTAAGAGAAAGCTACCATTAATGTAGGTAGTTGACGCTCGGATGCAGTTTTAAAAAAAGGAAAATTAATTTAAAAACAAAAATGAAGTTTCCCACAAAAGGAGAAATAAATGTCAAAATAAAATTTTCCTACCAAAAATATACTGGAGTTCATTACATACTTAAGTGTCCCATATAAATTCTTTTCATTATTAATGGAAAATAGAAAAATTATAGATGTAAAAATTAAAAGAATCTTGAAATTACAAATTAACCTTTTATAATACAAACGAATAAAATTCTAATTAAGTACTCGTCATACCAGTAACCTTTAATTACATTAAAAACTCAATCTATAGGAAGATTCACGCAATACCTACTTAGTTTGGATTTTTTGAATTTTATTATATTTTATTACTGGGT